AGGGCCCTCAGGGCTCACGCGGGCCACCTGCTGGCTGGGGTCACCGGGCAACCTGCCTCGTGCCTCCTGGGATCGCGTGAGGCGAGGGCATCATGGGTTTGGAAGTCTGACACGGCCCGACTCCCGCAGCCACCCCTTAGGAGCCTCGTGCCGGGGTAAGTTAAGTACCCTCCAAAGTCTCAGTTTTGCCTGTCTACAAAATCGCACCTGGATGAAGAAATGCAGGGGAAGGGCTGGGACAGCGGCACGTGCGGACCAAGTGCTTCCTAATGGTGCCGGGACAGTCGGCTCCCAGCATCCCCACTGGCCGAGCACTGGGGCAGCTCACCCACGTGAACGAGGGGGAAGTGGGGTGTGGGTCACGAGGCCGCCAGTCCTCAGCCTTCAGGGACAGGGCTGGGCAGGAGAGGCTGCAGCCTGCTTCCCTCCACGCCAGCTCTGCAGAGCATTCCAGAATGAAGCCCCACAGAAGGGCGGAAGAGTAGCATTGGGAGGCCGTGCCCAAGGCCTGGACGCTGCTCAGAGGCGGGGCTGGCCCTTCCCGACAGCCCCCCCAAACTCCACTCCTCCCGCCCTGCCCAGCCCCGCTCAGCGTGCACAGACGCCCACCCTCAGCCTTCCAAGACTCTTATTTGCTGCTTTTAAACTTTTTTCTTTATTTAGACAGAAAAGACGAACTCTTTAAAAGTAAATTAATGCAATAAATAAATAAGTTAAGCATAGAGAAGTGTCTGAAACTGACTCCCCGTCTCCCTTACCACTCCCACCCCCACCCCATTTCTTCGCCCTAAAACCTCTTCCTAAAGAAAATGATCAGGTAATAAACCCCTTTATCCCTCCCCACACCCCTCCTCCCAAATACACAGTTACCCCCAAAGCAAAGGGAGAAATCGAGAGAGAAAAATCCAGGGGAACATTGTCTAAACCCCCAGGAGAGATGGCAGCGTCCGGCCGGTGGGCTGGGTGACGCGTGGCCGGTGGGGCGTTGACACGGAGGGACCACCAGAGACTGTAAACATTGTTAGGGGCTCAGGGGGGTCTTTTCCTCGCAGGAGGAGGAGGGTCTCTGTGGCTGACGGGAGAGGCAGCCCTCAGGGCTCCCCCACACCTCCTTGGAGGGGGCCCTTGGGGGAGGCAGTGAGTTTTAGGGCTGGACATCCTACCTCTAGCTGAGGGTGGCAGGGAGCGTGGGAACCAGCTTCTGAGAACCCCCTAAAGTGGGGAAGAGGCTGGGACGAGGGCGAGGTGGGGAGCGTGTGGGGGCCCCCACTGCCCTCTCCGAGCTGCACAGGTACAGCGGGCCCCCGGGTTGGGGAGGCGAGTGCGAAAGCTGGGCACGGGACGCCGGGCACAGGAGCCCCAGCAGAAGGCTGATACCCCGAGCCTTCGAGCCTGTCCCTTGCTCCCTCACAAAGGCCAAAAGGGCACCTGGGAGGAGGCAGGCCCTCGGGGAGGGGCCGGGTGGTGGGACTGGGCCACTGTCCTGAGCCCCCAGGGCCACGAAGCAGCTTTTGCCACAGAGGCCAAGCAAGACCCAGGGCAGGTGTGCAGAGGGCTGGGACCAGTCGTGGGGAGAGGGGGCAGGACGCCCCTTCCTGTGGCGTCTCCAGACCTGCGGAGGAAGGAGACGCGGGTGAAGCTGTGGGGAAGCCGGCCGCCAGTGCAGGTCACAGGCCCCGGGGGTGGGGAGAAGTGGCTGGGGTGGCTGAGGGAGGCCGGTCATCCAAAAGGCCTCAGTCCACACTGAACCATCTGGCCGCCCCCCAAGCCATTCGACCAGGGGAGGGGAAGGAAGAGAGGGAGGGACAGGGCGGATGATACAAGAAGCCAAGGACATTAGGAAGGAAATCGTTAAAACAGCCCGTGAGAAAAAGGCTGAGAAGGACGGAGACAGGAACGGAGGGGAAGAGAGGCAAAGAATGAGACAACGAACAGGCAGGTGGAGGCAACTCAGAGAGGAGGAGGCAGGTGCCTGTCTGGACAGACACCTGGAGAGAGAGCAGGGGGCATCCACAGGGAGGGCGGGGCAGGCCGGGGCGGCCCAGGGCTGGGCGTGGCCTGGGGTCTCTGGGGGAGCCCCTGGCCCCTGGGGAGTGCTCATTCCTTTTTAGAAAGGAACGAAGGAAGCCAGGGAGAAATGCACAGAACACAGACCACAGTCACCAACCACTGTCAACCAAGCACATCCCGCGAGCTGCCCCCGGCCCTGAGCCTGGGCTGGGGGGGCGCTTCCCTCCGCGGCCCCCTCCCCAAATAACAAACAACTGGCTCCAAAGACAACACGCTCGTTCCATGCGACTTACAGGGGCCCGGAGCAGGGGTCCGGGGATGGGGGCTTCTGCCGACAATGGACACGGGCCCTGGGCTGGGGGCCCCCAGGGTGGGGGAAGTTAAGCAGCCAGGATTGGGGGGGAAAGGGGGAGAAACAGAAAACGTGGGTATTGTTCTTGGTTGTATTTTTTGGGGGTTTGGTCCAAAGGAGATTAACGACATAAAAGGAACGGAAGCTCAGGGCTCTGGGCCGCGGGCCGGGGCGGTGGCGGGCATGGGGTGGAGGGACCCGTGAGGTGAGTCACAGGCTGTCCAGCATGTCAGCCGCCTCCACCTGAGCCACAGCTGCTCCCGAGAGGCCCGAGGTGGGGACTCCCCCCAGTCTGTTCTGCGCACTCTCCACTGTCCCATGGGTCCACTGCCACATAAGAAAATCACCTGGAGTCCAGGGCGGCAAGGAGCTGACGTCCCCACTTCTCAGAACAGATATTCCAGAAACCAGTGTTTCTAGGACCCTCCAGCCTCCTAAACCAGCCCCCTCAGTCCTCAAACCGTACTCCCCTAATTCCACTCCAACTCGAAGGAAAACCAGAGAGAGAGAGAGACAGACAGACGGACACACGGACACACGGACACACGGACACACGGACACTGACCAGACGGACGGGACTGCATATCGGGGAGGCTGTGGGGGGTGGACAGATATTTAGAGACTTGGCTCTCTGTGGGGCGTGTGTGTGTGTGCGTGTGCGTGTGTGTGTTTGTGTGTGTGTCTGTCTGTCTGTGTGTGTCTGTGTGGGGGAGGGGAGGGGAGGGGAGGGGCAGGAAGGAGACTCGAATGACTGAAAATCAGCAGAAGGGGCAGACCCCTGCTACAAACGCCCGGAGTCGGGGCTTGGAGGGGGCAGTCGGAGTGAGGGGGCTGGCCGCCGTGTGGGGGTTGGGGAGGTCACAGCAGGACCCACCTGGGGGCCCTCAGTAGGGCCGGTTGGCATCCTTGGGCCGCTTTAGCTGGACTTTGAGGCGCTTCATGCCGATCTGGAAACCGTTCATGGCCTGGATGGCAGCCTGGGCACTGGCCGGATTGTCGAAACTCACAAAGCCTGAGGGGAGAGGGGCGTGAGGCCGGCCCGGCCCCGCCCCTCAGCGCACCACCCCGCCGCCTCCAGGTCCGGCGAGCGCCCAGACACCTGCCCAGTAGCTGTTGATTGACGGGTTGAGTGAGCGAGTCCAGCCCACCGCGCACGCGCACGCGCACACTGGGACATTCGCGCCCCAGCGTCCTTGGAGGGGCGGCCCCTTTCTCAGCCTGGTTCTGAACCTACCTGTTGAAAACACCTGTCTCAGACCCTAATGACTTCTGCAGCAGGGAGGACGAGAATGTTCCCTTTCTTCCCCGAGCAGCCTTGCAGACGAGGCCCAAAGGCAACGAAGCCCGAGTCCCTCAGCCTTGCCTTTGAAAACCAAACACCCCCTCCTGAGCCTCTGCCAGGTGAGGGCTTATGGAGAAAAGGTGAGGCTGCAGGTTTCTGGAGGGAGAGAAGGCCCGGGCCGCAGCGGGGTGTGTGGGAAACGGTTGTTTTGGACTCTTGGACAATCTGGATTCCAGATATTGGCCCACGGCAACCATAAGTGACTTCGCATGTCTCAGACCTTGTCCTCTTTCAGAGTTTGGCCATTATCTTTTAGATCGTATTCTCACCAAAACACTTGCTCTGATTGGTGGCCCGGTCAACAAAGACTTTGGCTGAGATGACGTGGCCAAAGGGGACAAACATCTGGAGGACCTCTGAGTCGGTGAACTCCTGGGGCAGGTGGTAGATGAAGATGTTGCAGCCGTCAGGGCCTGGGTGGCAGCAGAGATAGAAGGCAGAGCACAGTGACTGGGGGACGGACTCAAGGAGCCAGGGCCCTGGAAAAGCAGGGCCCGGGGGACCCTCCAATCACGCCCCCAACGCGTGGGCCAGGGCACCAGCCACCACTCGCTTCCTTCCCCACCCACAGGGCCGGGGCCCAGGCTGTGAGCGGGGGAGAGGGAGTCCCTGAGCCCACGACAGGGCACCCTGTCCGCCGAGGCCCTCGGGCCGCCCAGGCCGCACCTTCCCGTTGCTGCTGCTGCTGCTGCTGCTGCTGTTGCT